CAAACCTAAACAAATACCTCTACCTCTTCGGGTGTGAATAAAGAGAAAAGCAAAAAGGGGGAGGAGTCCCTAATTAAAAACAAACTTCGGTCTAACTGGTGAGATAACAAGAGACGCTGAAATAAGAAAGACCCCAGTAGTACTGTAACATGACAGTCAAGTGACCCAACCCCCTGAAGCCCTCATCTGTGCTTACTGGAGTTGTAGGCTGTGGAGGAAGCAATGGTGCCGTTGGGGTGGGAACGGAGGCTGCCGTACTCTGCTGTGAGAGTGGCTGCTGCTGGGGTGGCTCAGCGGGTGGAGCAGCAGGAATTGAAGGCTGCACTTGTGGTGGAAGCTGTGTGGCTGGTGGCGTGGGTGTCTGCCTTGGAGGAGGATGGAGAGTCTGGGACGGTGGCCCAGGCTGCATGGCTGGAGGAGTAGGAACAGGGGCTGGTATTGCTGCTGGTGGTGCCTGCGGGGCCCCTATGCTTGGAGGTGTGTGATGGGGGGTTGGGGTCCGACTCGGTACAGGTGAGGGTGAATTCTGATGCAGTGGTGGCTGAGGGAGAGAGGGGCAATGAATGTGACTCCCTTGAGAGCCTGGAGGCATTATTGGGGAGTTCACAGGGCAGGAAGAACTGGACATTTGTGCCTGTTTAAAGAAAAAAAAGGAAGGAAAAAAAAGCAAAAATGTCAATTCAGAGCAGAATTAGAGCCATTTTTACGTAGACACGGTGTACACATTTAGGACACAAACTAATCAAGTAAAAAGAGGAAGTATTTTTCTACTTCAAAAATGTGTCAAAATCCTGCAGTTCAAATCCACCAGATGCTCTGCTGAAAAAGGAGGACAATCTCCTCCTGTACCAGTCAGATCTGATTTGACAGTAAACACACACAAAAAGTGTCAAAATTCTGTTTACTGTGGGGCGTATCGTTGGTTCTTAAAAGCAGTAACATACTGAAACAAAGCAGTTGTCAGATCATTTAACAGAATGACCCCAGTCAATACCAGGGCATGAGAGAGGACACAATCTACACTCTTTTGTTTAGCCAGTTCTTCTCCAGCTTTCAGAGGAGTTCATTTTAATAAAGATATTGGCAATTTACAAGTTTTAACTATTTAACGTATTTCCTTTTTTATCAATTAATACTAAAGACAAGCCACAGAGTAACTGTTCCACATTCAAAAAAGGAATACAGATAACTAGGTTTTAAAAAAATTAATTAGCCATTATTTGTGGTGTTTCCTGTAAAAAACTCATATAATGACACATTTCAGAACTCGTGGGGAAAATATCCCACAAAAATCTACATCTGAAACATACTTGGGACACTGGAGCTTGACCGCTGGATTGCCCCAAAGGCATATTTGATACATTCATTCCCTGTGTGGAGAATGTAGTCGGCGGGAGGAATTGGTTCTGGCTGGAAGGCTGCTGCATGCGAGGTCCATATCCCATAGGCTGCAAAAAAACCAGAGACCAAAACCATGTTACCATGCTTCAAAAACACGTCATCACATTGACAGGTAGATTTACTGAACAGCAAAGGGAGAACTGGTGCGAGGAAGAAAATAGTAGAACTGATTTTCCTTCTAAGAAAATGAGGAACTAGCTTCTGCTCAAGAAATAACGAGTGCGGAAGGACAAGTGCGCCTGGTGCTATATACAAATGCCAATAAACTCCAACAAGAAATGGAGAGTGAACACGTGAGGAGAGTGAATGCTCTACTCATCTTGGTGCTGGTGTTAAACCACAAAGTAGGAGACTCCAGTATGGTATCCCAAAATAGGGCCAAACCTGGTCACAGAGGTGGTGTACAAACGCTCTAAGGAGGGAAGCATTTTATTTCTAAAATGCATCCAGCAAACCTAAAGGGTGGGCATGCGGATCATCTAGTTCAAATGTCATAATCTCAATGTTACCACACACCACAGAGTAGGGGGGAACCAACACAAAAACAAAAAACGATACGGTCTTGTTAGGTCTACTATGACCCAGCAGTTACCTAACAAAAAACAGATCTGAACCCTGTCCTTTCCTCACACTTCCTAACACCCTAGAGCCCACTGTGGCAGTCACTCACTGTGTCAATCTATGTGGCTGATGGTTTTCTTCTCCACTGCTAATGTTTCTGAGCATAGTCTCTACCCTCTCTAAGGAACAGCTCTTCTTCCTCACAACGTATTTGTAAGTATGTGAAACAAAGCTTTATCATCTTTGCCTCCAAAAAGCACTTCTGGTGCATTTTCTCCAAGACATATTTGCTTTTTCATTAGGTACCCCATGATGTATTTTTAATAAATCATAATTTCCTCTCCCCCGTTTAAGGCCATGAACAGCTTTCATGCAATTACATAAATTCTAGTTTGTGTAACACTGCAGTTTACAGAATTGTCATAATTAATCTCAAAATTATACTTAGGATATAGCCCTTTTTTATCACAACACAAAATTCTTAATAGGAATTCTTTTCTACGTTTTATTCCTTACAATCTTAAAGATTATTTCTAAGCTCTAGAGAAGGAATTTCTAGGGGGTTTAAAAAAAAGAAAGAAAGAAAGAAAGAAAAAGGAAAGTACTTTCCTATTTGCTACCTCAGGGTCGTTAATAATGTCTTTTTCTATACCGTACTACCTTTAAAATTTAAAACTCTCTTCATCATCCCAAAACATACACATTCATTTGACTATACCTAAATTCAAAGGCCAAGTCCAAGAGAATTACAGAATCAGGTCAAGTGAGCATTAAGGCACTTTCAGTTTACCACTGAGACAAGCAGGAGACTTTGTGCTTATGAAGTACAAAGAAAAGATATTCTTCACAACAGATAAAGGTCAAAAAGATTTCTGAGGGAAGTAAAAACTGACCGGGTTGAGAGTTCCAGGCTGTCCCAACTGTCCATGGTGCTGAAGCGGAGATGTTTGTCGGGGGCCAATGGAAGGCTGGCCCATATTCATCTGGCCAAACTGACTCAAACCTGTGAACACAGATATTCTCAACACTTTCATGGAATTAAGTGATTGATCAAAGTGCAGAGTTATGTTTTCTGACTCAGTATCGAAATCTCTCAACTTTAGATTTTATAAATGAATTGTTTAATTGACAGCAATAAGAGGATATTATTAATTCACTTTGGGTTTCAATTAAAGGTAATAATTTCCACCCAGGCCAACTGTTTGTAAGAGGATGCTTGATTGATTACTTAAAGTTGTTTGGCCTCTTGATCTGACCACAAGCCTGCTCATCACTGTCTATTCCACCCTGAGAGGAAACTCCAAGAGGCTTTCTGGTCCCTCAAGTAGGCGATTATGATGAGGCCTGCTGCTGGCATTAGTTATGCCAATGACATGCGTGACCATGTAGAGTACCAGAAACCCTGAATAAACCCTGGTGGGCTCTCGTCCATCAACCTACCAGGTTGTGGAGTTATCCGGGGCATCATCTGGTTTGGCACAGTGCCACGGATCATAGCTGGATCAGACAACGGACCATCTAGTGTAGGGAAGAAAACAAGTTAAATAAGTGCATTTGCTAAAACAAGTTACCAAGCTATAAGCAACGAAATAGCAATTCTGTAAAGTGTTTTCACAGCAAATCCTTTCAATTTATTTAAAAATAAAAACCTAGGGTGTTTAAAAAGTTTATGTAAGCAAGCTGGGCCTCAATGAATGTGGCTCTAGTACCAAAATTGTTTCCACTCTGCTGAAAGAAAAAGAATGTAGTTAACAGGGAGCTGTGGTGGCCGAGTGGCAAGAAATCTGCACTGCAATCCCAAAGGTGGGCAGTTCAAATCCACCAGATACTCTGCTGGAGAACGTGCAGCAATCTCCTATACCAGTCAGATCTGATTTAATGGTACAAAGACAGAAAAATTTACAATTATGTAAAAAAAAAAAACCCAGAAAAAAAACCCAAGAAGTGCAATATCAAAAATGAAAACTACGGTAGCATTTAATAAGCTGTAGGTTGCATCATCATAATCTTTGCATACTGCATAGCAGATCACTCTGAAAAGGAAGAGCCACTGATTCTGCCCAGTGGTGATCAAAGTAAATGGTGTGCTCCAATAAATGTTTTAGGTTTTTTTTAAAAAAAAATTTATTTTATTATTGTTTTTATGTGAACTGTCAAATCAGATCTGACTGGTATAGGAGAAGATGTCCCTCCTTCTTCAGATCATCTTCTTGACAGTAGGTTACTAGAACTCCCTCCAATAAATGTTTTTATACACTCAAATCCACTGTGAATGTTGATTTTTAATGGAAATATTTACAAAATTATGTGCATGGCCAGTGTTTGCTACCTGACAATTAGAAAATGAGACAAAAAAAAAAATTCATGATCCAATGACCTAAATGTAAACCTCTATTAAGAGCTGTGATGAAGTCACCTGACTTTTAAATACGAAATAAAATGTGGGCGAAAAACAGTCCTACTGCAGTTCAGATGGAAAAGACTGTTTTTACTGGTTGAGTTATATGGATGTACCATTAATTTTTAATGTTGGCCCAATGGGCATGCATCATCTGAATTTTCACTAATACAAGGAACAACTTAGGAATGTCAATACTTTGTTACGGTAAAACGTAGAGTCGTCAGATGGCTGACTAGAAAATATAAACAATTTTTTTTATTTAACAAAAATGTGTCATAGCAAACATCTTATAATCTAATACAAAAGTATTCAGGAATCTTATCACATGAAAAAGAATAATAAAAGTTCAATCATAATAGAAAATTTGGGGGAGGGTGGCAGGCAGGGAGGAAAATATGCAACAATGAATAGAAATCGAAAAGTCTCTATAAACTTTCTTAAAATCTCAATGAAAAAAATTTCATCAGACAGAAAAAAATAGATAATGTGGCTCCCACCACCCCACCTCCGCAATAAGTCACTTGTTGAAACTCGGACTGAATGAAATACAACACAGACGTCACGAACTTACTCTTAAAATGAAGTATCTGAAAAAAATTAAGGAAAAAAAAAGCCTCATGCAATTTCTTCCTCATTGGTGCATGTCTACTGCTGTTCACATGCACAATGACAGAGCAGGAGCAGAACTGCCTCAGGCGGCTTTCAAGGGTGTAATTTTTACACAAGCGGATTCACTAGGTGACCCCAATTATTATTTTACAAAAATTGTGAGCTGACCAGTTTAATTACAATTCCATTTTATCCATTATATCTTAAAGTTTTACAAAGAACTGTGAAGGCAAACTATCCAGGTTTGAAACATAGTACGACATCAATAAAGGAGTAAATAATTATTAATAATGAAAAAATAATTAGCAAATTAAGTCAATGAAGGATTACTAGTAATTAACTAATTTACTAGTAAAGTCAACAAATTTTAAATAACTAAAATATGAAAGCTACAATTTTAAATGATGAATTTCAAAATGAAATAATCTTTTGACTTAGAATATATAACGTAGAGTGGCAACTAAAAACAAGTCCAGAGGGAGCTCTGGTGGCCTAGTGGCAAGACGCTGCACTGCAATCGCAAAGGTACGTGGTTCAAATCCACCAGATGCTCTGCTGGAGAAGGAGGGGGCAATCTCCTCCTTTACCAGTCAGATCTGATTTGATGGTACACATAAAAATAATACAATAATTTAAAAAAAGTTTACAAAAACATGTCCAGGTGTGTCGGACTTTGTCTACAAATTGAACAGTGAGTGTCCCGAAAGGCAGGGTGTCTCTGGATAAAGTTAAAAGTCAGTGAAATTTTACAGGAGAACAAATTACAAACGTCATGGGAACTTATGAAAGATGATGATCATGGGATCCTAAAATGATCTCAGGTCATCAAAAAGCATTAAGGACTATGTCTTGGGGTCTTACATGCACTGTTCAGTGAGTGTTTTTATTGGTGGATGATAAAGTGTCATGATTTCCTAAGTTCTAGCAAACTTATAAAAGCTCATGAAAATGTACAACTCTGGTTACAAATAATGTTCTTTCTTGCTGAGTTCTTCCCAACAAAAATCTACAGGAGAAGGGGTGGGGGGAAACACTTACTGGACGTCATTCCTGGTTGCGGCTGTCCCATGTTAGGTCCTGGGTTCATAGAAACTGGTACCATGCCCGCAGCGTTCGGCATCATGCTCTGTTTCTGTAGTCTAGTCCTGCGTTTTTCTTCCAGTTCTTTTTGGATCTTATAGATCTTTTCAGCTAGGAGGTGGTAGTATTCTGCCTGTTTGTATTTTTTTAAAGAAAATTAGAAGAAATGAAGAAAAACTACTACAAAGTAATGGTAAGTAATGGCTTAACAGTAATAAGCAGAAACTAATAAAGAATGAAGAATCTAATGCATCATTATGAAACTACACTGTAAAATATGATGTATCAGTGTTTGGGCTTATTGACTATGTTCCTATAACTTGTAGGATAATAATAGAAAGTGCCACATTATAAATAGTCAATTGTAAATAATAAAGTTTAACTAATGAAGAGATGGTGGACTACCATTAGAGATGATACACTAAGCCGCTGATTCACCACAATTAGTGAAAATAGCACAGAGTCACAATGACTATCAGACAGCCCAGGAGTAGAGCTGGTTTCTAAGCTGACAGAAGGACAACTCAGATAAAATGACACACACAGTGTGCATTTAAAAGAGGAAAACCTTGATGGCACACATTTTTAAGACAAGTGTTTTCTCATATGGATTGTCTTAATGCAGACTAAGACAGGACAGCTAAAGGTCCCTTTTCTGACATACAGTACTGTAAATTTTACATAACAAGACTAATTTAGACCATCCAAAGAGGTTCATTTTTGCCTGAACATAAAGAACAAATTTGTTTGAACATAAAGAACAAATGCTCACTCGAGAATTTGCAGACTCATACATGTCTCCTTCTACTTTCCGGGCATATGCAACGAGGTTCTCCATCCGTCTGTCTTTTAAAGCAGCAGGATCCGGAGTAGGAAATATGGCTTGAACACTGGGAAAAGAAAAGCCTTTCAGTGTAACATCACACCAAAGAAACTGATAAACCTTTAAGTGTTTCATGGTTTTTGTTGTGTACCACTGAAGTGATTAACTCGTGGACTATAGATCAGAATAGAATTGCCTTGCAACATTCTGTACCACTGAGTCAGGAGCATGTTGCCAGGTCTTTTCTTCATACAGGGTCATAGATGAGTTCTAACTGCTGGCCTTTCTGCCTTTTGGTTAGTAACTGAGAACTTAAATCATTGTACCAACAGACTCTTAAAATGTTTCATTATAATAAATCATAAATATATACATAGACACACACATACAAACAGTACACGAAAAGATGGCGCACAGTACAACATGACTGGTTGCAACATGTGAAGTTAAATGAAAATATAATACACCACAAAATCTTACAAGATCCAGAACTTTTAAATAGAAGAGTAAGAAATGTATGATGATTTTTGGCATAAATGATCTCTCTCCATCAATTCCTTAAAAATTCTAGACACTAATATAGAATCCTTAAGACTGAAAATTCTTATTCTTAGCCATTAATTTTATCATCCTTTCCGTTACATAGCCTTTTCAAGAACTAGATGGACAACAGAGAAATATAAGTTCAGAAAAATATTTTGAATTGGTACAAAAGCTTGTATGTCAATTATATGATCAATCTGAAACAACTGATCTTCTCTGTACATTAAATAAATGACTTTACAATGCAATGATCACAAAATTAAGTTTTTTATTCCTTACTGATTCCAGCAAAATCTTTATAGTGAAAGTCCACTTCTAGTGCTATCTTTTACTATACTATAATGTACTAAGTGTGAAAACAGTGAAATAAATCGTTATATAAGAATTACCAAAACTCAACAAGAGGCAAGAAATGAGTAATGACACTGGATAAAAACGGATGTTACTGGATAAAAATCGTGCCAATATAATTGCTTAACACAAGGTTGCTACAAACCTTCAATTTATATATATATAAAAAAACCAAAGCCCTAAAATGCAGTAAAATAAGGTATATCTGTACAAACTATATGTAATTAGGGAAACACTGATTTTACAGTTACAGTACCAAAGTCACTATTTATGAGGCTAAACACAGAGTAAAAGGTAAGGCAGAGACCAGGAAGCAGGACAGTGAAAGAGAAATGTTTATCACATGAGTGGAAGCCAGGCTACACAAAAGCAAGCAATATTCTTCTGGTGGTGAAGCACCCAAGAGACTGAGAATGTGCACGTGTAACTCAATGAATAAGACGTGTCACATCTTACAGTTTGTGAACAAGATGATTTCGAAGATCCTGAGTAATATCTTCATGCCATGGTTTCCGAATTCCAGTACTGGATGGTTGTGCTGCAGTTGGCATAGGACCCAGAGAGGCCACACTGGTATTGTCATTCATCATTGAGCTTTAAAATAAGGAATCAAAAATTTAGTGATAAAGAGTAAGCGGGAGAGATTTCATTTAAGTAGACCGACAGTGATTATTCCAATGCAGCCAAGAGACTGAGGAGCCTATTTACAGCAAAAAGTCTGACGAGGTTTTTTAAAATATATGTATGGTTTGTCTTGTGTGAAGAAAAGCGATAAACCTCCAGCATCTCTGTGTGTCAAGGGGAAGATGTGGTATATGTTACAAATCACAGCACAGCTTATCTCAGGGAACCTTATATTATGGTACACAGTGGGCTCACTGTTTATATGGCTGCATCTTACAACTTCTTGCTGTGTTTGGGAAAGTGCTTATTAAACCACCATAAATAGTTAAGTTACAAATTAAAGCTGTAGAACAAGAGATCCAACAGCCTATCTTCCTTCATTTACATAACTTTAAATTGTGGAAATAAAACCTCTAAATATGGGAAGCTTCAAATAATACAGGGACAATCCAAAAGAAAACTTACTTTTGAGAATTTATGGCTGAATGCAACATAGAGTCAGGAAGAAGATTCGGCGTCTGAACTCCTACACCACCATTTACTCCCATTGGACTAGCACCTAAGCAAAAACAACACAAAATTTGAAATAAAAAAGTAAGTTTTTAAAATATTCTTAAAAAATTCTTTCAAATTCTGACTCAAAATTCAAGCCATTAAGGACAATAAGAACCCACACTCTTGGAACCAGTAGCCAGGAAATCAAAAGATAAATTGCATTTGGGAGGTCAGAGACCTCTCCAAAGTACTGAAGAGCAATGAAGTCAGTCTGGAGACTAAGGTGCATATAACCCAGGCCATGGTTTAGACATTACTTGTTATGCATCAGAAAGTTAGACAATGACTAGGGATGACAGGAGAATTGATGCCTTTGAGCTGTGGTGCTGGAGAAGAGTGCTGAATATACCATGGACTGCTAGTAGAATAAAAAAGTTAGTCCCGGAGAGGGTGAAAGCAGGCTGTTCTTTGGAGGCATGGATTCTGAAGCTTTGCCTGACATCCTCTGGGCATGTTGCAAGAAGGGACCAGTCCTTGGAGGGACATCCTGCTTGGCAGGGAAGCGGCACAGTGCGAGGAGGAAGATCCTGGATGAGATGGATTGACTCAGTTACTAGTGTAATGGGGTAGTAGGTGTGTCAGAGATGACGATAAGGCTCAGAATTGAGCAGAGCTCAGAGCTGCTGTACAAGGTCTGTGTGAGTTGCAAGCAACTTGATGGCACACATTTTGCTGTTGCTGTTATGTGCCAAGTCATAGCAATCCTATGTACAACAGCAGCTCTGAAGCCTGTCCTGTCCTGAGCCAGTGTTAACTGATTCTGATACATCAAGCCCCACTGCCCTAGTTACTATATCAATCCATCTCATCCAGGGTCTTCCTCTCCTGTGCTTTCCCTCAACCGTTCTGAGCACAATGCCCTTCTCCAAGGACCAATCGCTCTTGACTAGGTGGCCCAAAGTATGTGAGATGGAGCTTCAAAATCCTAGCCTCAAAGGAGAACCTTGGTTTCATCCTGTCTAAGAAAGACCTGTTTGCTGTTAGCAGTCTATGGTACAGTCAAAACTCTTCTCCACCACAACTCAAAGGTATCAATCTTTCTTCTGTCATCCTTAGTCATTATCCAGCTCTGTGATGCACAGCAAGTAATTGCAAAGACAGGGCACTTTAGTCTCTAGACTGACATATTACTGCATTTCAGTACTCTGGAGATGTACCTGACAGTGACAGTAGATTTCCCCAATGCAACTAATCTTTTGATTTTCTGACTGCTGGTGCCAAGAGTGTTGATTGTGTATCCATAATGGGATACATATCCGTAATTACCAATTGGAACTGTCACCGTATTTAACATGGAGGCATGGCTAGAAATGCTTTGGTTACTTGGGACTGCATTCCTCAGGTAAACATGGGATGACATAAACGCATAAATATTTTTTCTAATCCTTGACAAGCTAAAGATTTTAACTAGATCACAGGAACAAACGCAAAACAAAGCTGAGAAACAAAATGTTAATCAGTAATCTGAAGGTCTATAATAAAACAAATCAGTGATACTATAAAGAAGATTAAAGGCAAATAAAGAATACCAAGGAATTATTATATTCAAATTGTTAACACTAAGCACATTCACATAATCTAGTATGACATACTCATTTTTAAAATGTTTTAACCTATATCTGATAGTAAGGAAAAAATTGTTGGGTTAAGTGCCACCATGAAAAACTGCATATTCAACCAGACTAGTAAAAAACCTAGTTTTCACTAGTTTATGTGATAAACATAAAATGTTGAGATGACTTTTAGCTTAAGAGCACAAAAAGTTTTATTACGTTTAGGGGACTAGAGAAATATGAGTAGATAATATGCTACAAGGCATTTTTTTAATACTAATGTTAAATTCCACCGGATGTACTGATTGGTATATTCTTATAGTAAAGAACATCCTTTTCCTCAAGAGACAGAGTGAAACTTCAGTAAGTGGGATCAGGCTGCCTCTCAAGTTTACATAAAAATAAATGTGGAAAAATTCAAGAAAGAGAGTTCTACTGGCAATTGACAATTTTGAATAAAACATGCATTACAAAGTGACTTGAAGGAGGGAGGAAAAGGCCTATCAATGAATGAATGAAAACCCATCCTTTTTGTAAGCTATGTGCCACTACTGGACTGCTGTTAAGCTGCCAGGTACCATGGAGTTGATTACCACTCAGTAACGCCAAGGACAACAGATCTGAACCTTGCCCTATCCTGTGTAATCCTCACCATCTCTGATACACTGGGGCCCACTGTTACACTCCCACAAGCCATCTTGTTGGGAGTCTTCCTTTCTCATTCAAACACTCTACATTTCCAGCAACATGTTCTTTCCCAAGGACTGGCTCCACTACACCAATAGTCAGGTAGGTAGAGAGAAATTAAATGACACAAGGTGGATGCTACATTTGGAGACTGTGCGCGCGTGCACACACAGGACAGCAGATCTGAAAGAACTTACTCATGTTGCTCATGGTGCGCATGCCTTGAGGAGACTGCCCAGACTGCTGATTCTGCTGGCTCTTCGGTTGTACCTGGGGTTGTGGTGGCACCTGGTTTACTTGATAGGGGAGTCCCAGGGCTGCATAGGCTCGTTCTATAGAGCTGGGATCAATCTGACTGACAGTGCTCAGGCTGGGAGTAGACTGCTGACCCACCCCAAGAGAACCAGTATTTCCCAATCCAACAGCTGCTCCCGTCAAAATTGCTACAAGACAGGAAAAAAAAAAAGTTCAACATTAGCAAATAAGGCCAACATGTTTGCTTATATTATTGCTCATGTGATTATAAAACATCTCAGTAAATCTCCCATGAACAATTTCTAGATGCAAAGCAGACAGATTAAAGGTGAGAAATGTCACAAAAAACTGTTTTAAAAAAAACAAAACTGTCTAGAAATCAAGCCAATGTGACCATAAAGATACGCTCTTATTTAGTAAAACAGTACATTTTGTTACACTGAATAGGCCGCTGTTTAATTATCACAATGTTTTTACTGAGCTACGCAAGATTTATTAAGAATCCTATTCCTTTTCACATTACACATACTTTAAAATAGATCTTTTAGATCTGCTTCACATTTTGTTTCTTGAAGTGTGGAAATTGTAGTTTGAAAATTTTATTTTCATACTATTCTTTTATATTCTAGTTATAATAATAACAACCATTCTTTCTTTCTTCTTTTTAAAAGAACTTTAAATTACTTGAACACTCCAGTTATAGGTTTTTGTTGCTGAGCTGGAACGGACTGCTAGCTAGCAAGTCTTATGAAGCAGTAAACTGTCATGGAGGAGGCTGCCCATCTTTCTTCTGAAGAGCAGCTGATGGACCAACTGCCTCTTAGATTAGCAGCGTTAGCGCCTGACCACCAGTGCTCCCTCCCAAGTTGGACACAATATTAACTTGCCCAGTGCAAAAGCAATGATAACATTCTCTATCACTGCAGGTACCTTATAGAAATCACTTTATGTGTTTTGTTCTTCTAAGGCTTTTGCTTTTCAATAACCTTCAATCAATTTTGTGAACATATGAAAATGTGTCTTAATTTTTTTATTCTGTTAATAACGTGTGTAGTCTTACACTGGTGTCATCCTCTTACAACTTTTTGCAACTTCAAGGTTTAGTAGTGGGAAATTCCTATCATATTCCCTATGTGATTTTTGGGCTGTTCTTACAAATTCACCCTTTTAGATAAACTTTAGGATCATTTTTTAAATCAATTTACTTTGACAAGCTCACTGAGATTGACCCATAACTTTAAAACAGCCTTTTATAAACAGTTGTTGAAAAACATGTATCAAAATTATTTACCCCAATGTTATTTCATTAATCTGTTTTTGTGGTCATTCAGTATCAGAGGTTGCTCCCTATGAAAGTCATGCAGTAATTAATCAATCATTTATTATAATTATTCTTTAAATAATTTTAAATGGGAAGTTTTCCTATCTCCCCCCCCAATCAAATCATCAAACTAAATCCACTTACTCAAATAAAAGCACTAGTCTCTCTACTACCACTGGGTATAAAATTAATTCTAGTGTAGACATAGAAGTGCTTTTATTTCATTCTATCAATACCTCACAGCAGAGTAAACAACGTACCTTCCATATACATCTATGTTTTCACTGGAATGGAACAATCTAGCTTCGCCTGCTGTAGATAGTATTAAACATTTTCAAGGTGACTGATAAAAGAATTTGGAAACTTTTTTTAAAGAGTTAAGTTTTTTGGATTTTTTTTTTTCTTCACACTAACAAGCAATTCAAATCAATGTACTCATACGTTAATGGGAAGCAGAAAAATGAAATTAAAAAATTCAACTCCATTCTGTGAACACAGTACACCACAGAACCAAAAAGTATATTTATATAATCAAAATGCACTGGTGAGATTGAGAGTGACAAATTATGGTAAAACTTACACTGCTGATGTCTCTTATCCCCAGCATTTTTGAGAGGGAGACACACAGGACAATCATGCCTCGTACAGTTCTTCCAGTGTGAAATGATTTGTCTAGAAGATGCACAATGTGCCACTAAAAGAAATACAGGTTACACCATTAATGTTTCTAACAGCTACCACTTACTGAATATTTAAAAATGCTACAAATGCATTTATTCATTTCATCTTCCAAGAACCCTTTGTGGTAACTTCTATTAAGACTCCTATTTTACAATTGAGAAAGACAGGTAAAATATGGCTAAAGAATATGTACAATCACATTAAGTATCAAAATTTGTCTCAATACAGAACCTTATTCCTATTTTTAAACCACTATATGCTGTTCCAGCCTACCTTTTTTTTTTGTGACACTTTATTTTGTTGTTTTGTCCTGTCAAATCAGACCAGACTGGCACAGGAGGAGACTGTTCATCCTTCCCCAGCATAACATTGAATGGATTCAAACCACGTGCCTTTGGGATTGCAGCACAGCTTCTTGCCACTAGGCCACCAGATCTCCCTAACATACTTTCTTTTAATTACAAATACTTAAAACAAGTTTTATGATTCTTGCTAAGGCAGGCTTGCTGAGAGGCTTGGTAAACTAATCCAATATAACTTCAGTAAACTCAACTACTCTAAATTTTAAAGCCGGCAAATCCATGTAAATCCTGAGGAAAATCAGCAGTATGATCAACTTTTAAGGTTATGTGACAGTTCAGGTAAATGGTTCACTTTCTCAAGTAAGGACAAACTAATCTTGGCCTTCAGGGTGTACAAGGATACAGAAAGAACTAGAAATTTATTTTTTTTAAATTTTTTTGTGTGTGTGTGTGTGTATTGTCAAATCAGATCTGACAGGTACAGGAGGAGATTGTCCCTCCTTTTCCGGCAGAGCATCTGGTGGATTCGAACCACATATCTCTGGGAGAACTAGAAAGATTTAACTGTAAAATGGGTGACATTTGGAAAAACATTAGAAAGTAATAAACCAGGGGTTAATAACCCCAAGCAAACTAGGCATAATAAGGAGATTAAAGGGATCACAAACCTCCCACCTTAAAACAAAGGCTGCTGCAAGGGATATTACACCCCTGGAAGCAAGTCCTAAATAATGAGAATTAGTCTTCTTTCAGCTTTTCATTTAAGGAGATATTAAAGGATCTTTGGCAAAGGTTTAAACACACATCTACTGTACCTCAATAGGTCCTGCAGACAAAATATTACCTATTATTTGTAGATGTGGTAGCACATAAAGTTTTGCAAAGCAGAGAGCAAACATCAGAAGCAGGAAGACATGGCAGCACGGGAAAATGTCAAGCTAAAGCAAAACAAATTCAGCAAAGATCTTTGAGAAGCCCATTGCCTGGTTCTTTACTTGCTGGTATATCAACTCAAAAGCAGCTTAGATTATTAAGGAGTGATGAGGGTTAGGGTTAGGTTTGGGAAGGATTAAAAGTTTAAACAGGTACCTTTTAATCACTGGATCTTTTATACTAAGTTAAAAAATTATCTAATAATTATTTTTACCATCTATACCTAACTGAGCAATTTTAAGTATTTGGGTAGAAACAAAATTTCTAAAATAAAGATGATGCTTAAAAAACAAACCCAAACAAAAAGCCAAAGCAAATGAAGATTATACCAAAGGCAAGAAGGGCCTCAGAACAGACTTGATCATATCTCCTCTCTTTTTCCTCACTGTTTTTGTCTAGAAACATCACTTGCCAACCCACACCACCACCATGAGCCCACGCACCTTGGCAGGACTTGCCCGACTGGCAGTGTGTCATGTGGTTGAGGACATTCTTCATTGTACGGCAGTGGGGAAGGTTGCACTGCTTTACTTCCCCATTGGCCTGCTCCCGGCGCTGGCACTTGTGAGCATGCAAAAGGAGAACCAGCTGCTGCTGGATGAGCTTGCGCTTCTCTGGATCTGCCGTGTGCGCTCCAGAAGCCATCCCCTGGGCTACTGGAGCCACCAAGCCTGGCTGCTGAACCTGTGGGGCTGGCTGTTGGCCCTAAGGGATGTAACAAAAGAGATATTTAATGTGAGGTGTTACAGAGTGTGCTATCTATCTCTTTTACAAAATGAGACGATATTTTCAATTAAAACCTTTTTGAAGGGCAAATTATATATGCTGGTTCCATTTTTCTTTTTAAACAGGTAATAGAATATGGTTCCTACCAACAAGTAGCTCAATATAGCGAGAACTCTGGTGGGAAGGGATTATGTATAGCAAAGAGAATGTCCCCATTTATGAACAAGAAGTTTCAGAGGGCCCACAATTAACAAGGTCATGATTTATTCATACCTACAGTATCTAGAATATAGGCACATTCAATGACCATATGACAAAACACTAAAACATGAGCAAAGAGATAAGTTATTGTAGACAACTTTTTTCAAAAGCTGAGTGCTGAACACATTTATAACTAGAAATGGTTTCACTTTAGAAAAAAAAATGTTAGAAATTTCTGAAATTTTTTTGTAACAAAAGTCTATTTAAAACATCTATTCAGAGGACAGTTACTCTGTGCAGCAGGACCATATACAAGCCAGTAGACCTACTCAAGAAAGTAGGGGTCTTGTGCCAGAGTCCTTTCCCAAAGGAGCCAAGTGTCACATTTCCTATCCTACATTAGAGCTCAGAAGCAGAATCTTCATTCAATGATGGGCAATATTCAATGGCAGGTCACTCAAACTGTCATGGTAGCAGTCTTGTTGGTCAATATCCCAAAGGGCAAAACTTGTTCAAAAGAGTTGTCCATTCCATATTTATTGAATCTAAGTGGTGTATATAAAGGTGTGTTGGTGGCAGAGTGCATTACATGTTCAGTTGAGGAAAGCAGCCTTGGAGACCTTGGAGTCCAGAATCAACTCCATGGCAGTGGGGTTAGTTCTCGGTTTATTGTATGTAAGCAAGGATTTTGTAACAGACGACTACTTACCATGTTGGGCATTCCTCCACCAGGAACTGCCTTTTTGTCCATTGCAAATGGAGATAAGTTATTTGGTAGTACAGGCTTTGTCTGAATCTGGAGACCGAGGCCACTGGCTCCAATCTGCTGTCCAGAATTCTGAGTGTAAGGTGAACCGTAAGGATTAGGATTGCTCATCATTCCCATCTAAAAATAAGAAATAAAACAAACATCATGTTTTATCCCCCATCTTAACGGGACATCATTACTACTATTCCCTTTCCAATTAAAAATAATAAGCATTGGTTTGAATGTTTTCCATGTGTCTTAGCATTTACTCAAGAATTAATCTAATTTGTATAGCCTTTTGAAAACAAAAGCTATAAAAACAGGGTCAAATGAGTCAAGTGACCTAACAGTGTATATATCAGAGCTGGGAATTCCATCTATCCTAACTATACTAAACATAATTCTAACAAAATCCTCTGCTTATTAGAAGTTAGGCTACAAAAGTATGTCATTGAAAAGAATCTCTTTTCCTTCCTTTATTAATTTTAAGGACAGTTTACAGAGATTTAGGGTTTCCATTCATTCACTGTTGCACCTTGAAAAGAATCACTTTTTAAGACCAAAATTTGGGGGACCTGAGATAGTCAATTTATAGACCTATATTCTAGAAACATCTGAAATGAAGGAGTTTTTTTAAACATGGGCATTTCATTGTAACGATAATAACCAATGTTTGTTTCTTTCATTAAGAGTTACACATGACACTACACTGAATGAAGTATTTTTGTTTAATGTTCAAATTTAACTATGGCTGGTTAAGCTCAATTCAACATAATAAGTCATTTAACTCCAAGTAAATTAGATAGTTTGACATGATAAAAGATTCAAATGCTTATTTTTAACACTAGCATGTAGAAAATAAATAGATGGGTTTAGGGTATATCTTTAATTAACACATACTAGACAAGATGTTTTGGGAACACCTTTTGAAGCTCAAATTTTTAAATATAGGAACAATGATCTTCAGAGTCCACACAATTCCTTGTACTCTTATCTTCTGCTTCTAGCCATGTAATTTCACTTCCACTGTGATCCCTCCTCATGTCTTAAATTCATCCTGGAATTCTTTATCAACAAGATCCTCAGGACCAGAGAATACCAAATGTATACTCAAACTTACAGCAAAACCTTGATGCTGATTCCTTAAGAAAATTCTAATTGACCTATCTTTAATGGCTTTCTAGTGAAGCCACTTATTTTATTCACTATGTACAAGTAACTACAAGCCAGGCATTGGCGACTATAGACAGCACACTTTATATAGAGCACATAATTGAAAAGATTTTAAATATTAAGTGTTTGCTACTTAATAAAATAAGCAAGTAGCCTTAAAAGAAAAGGCTTTCAAACAACAGCCAAAGTCTGGTTAGTTGGAACTTAAGGCATTCTGACTAAGGTTTCAATGTTTAAAAGCACCTTAGTTTCCTTCTACTAATAAAAACAACATTTGATGAAATCTCTTATAACAAACAAATCTCTTTAAAGACCACAGATATTCCAAGCAATGGGGACATACTGCATGGTTTTGTTGGTAGTGCCATGCCAGGTATCTCAAAATAGTGGGTCAAGCACTAGGCTTGCTAACCAGAAGGTTGGCAGTTTGATACCACCAGCCAGCCACCACACAGGAGAAAAGGTGAGGTCACTTGCTCCTGTAAAGATCTGCAGCCTTGGAAATGCTAAGGGGCCTCACTCACTCGGAACAACCAGAAGGTATAGAAAACCATTCAGTTGTAAAATAAGTATTGAACAGTGAAATGTTGTTGTAATGTGCCGTGGAGTTGCCTGCAACTCCTAGTTACCCTATGTACAACAGCCCTTAACCCTCCTTTAGGGTCCTGTGCCAATCTGTCTCCAACACACCCACCCCCATCACTCCAGTCTCTTAAATCAATCCACCGCATTGAGGGTCTTCATCTCCTGTGCTGTCCCTACACCCTACCAAGCATGACGTCCCTCTCCAAGTATTGGTTCGTCCTTGCAACATGTCAAAAGTATGTCAGACGAAGATTCAGAAACCTTGCCTCCAAGTAGCAGCCTGGTTTAACCCTCTCTAGGATGAACCTGTTCGTTTTCTTAGCAGTCCATGGTATATTCAATACTCTTCTCCAGCACCACAGCTCAAAATCATCACAATGTGAGATTAAACTTCAAGAGTAAAGATAAATGAACAAGTAGCCCTCTTGCCACCACCAGGACACTCAAAAATATACTGATAAGCATATAAATCAGAGTGACACTTACCTTCAGAGGCTGGGGGCCTCTTAATCCTGCTTGTCCTCCCATCTGAGGAGAGCCCTGCTGCAGTGGCTCAGTCAGCAAGTTGCCAGCATTTCCCATTCCTGGGTTTTGGTACTGCATAGTAGGTCGTCCTCGGCCGGATCCAATTGAACCGTTCATGACTTGATTAGGCATCATTCCCTGTCCATTGCCCGTGGCCAACATTCCAGGATTCATGCCAGCATTCATCCCTGTGTTCATTCCCATGGCAGGCTGATTTACTGGGCTGTTCATCATACCTGCTGTGGATTGCATGGGACCTTGATTTGGCCCACTGGTGCCCATTCCCATACTGGGGGAAGTCAAGCCTGCCTGTGCCATTGGGCTTTTGACCATACTGTTTATCAAACCCAATCCAGGACTGTTCTGTTGGGGCTGACTGGCCATACCTTGGCCAGGGCCACCAACACCCATATTGAGGTTAGGGGAACTACCAGACCGCAGCAATTCTGACAGCTGTTTGTGTTTAGAGGCTGCATCTTGTACCATGCCAAGACTTGTCTGAAGCTGACTAATATCACCACCATTGGTCAGTCCCAATTCTGTGGAGTTGATTAATTCATCTGGTAAGTCATGCTCCAAGTCAAGTAGAGAGCCAAAATCTAAAAGACAAAGAAGAGAGATATGGGTTAAAAGTTTACAAGAACCACTATCAGAAACTGTTCTGCATTTTATTCATGATGAACATCGATGTATCATTTCCACTCGATGGAATACTACTTCTTTATTATTTATACTGCTATTTTTAAAAAAATGTAATATAAAAAAAGCACATTTAGGGGTATTCAATTGTGCTAGCTGGTTTAAATACAAAAGAAACAACAAATGAGGGGGGAAGAGATTAAATCTTATTATAATGTCTAGTAACAATTAAAAATAGAAATAAATTATTTTATAATATTATGCTACATAATAATCCACCATTCTTAATTTCTATCACAGTGCCTGTCATTAGGTAAATAAATAAATAAAGTTGATCAAGACCTGTTGCTGTTTTGGGCTATGAAGTCCAAATCAACTCACAGGGGAATTTTAGAGGTAGTAAATCACACTGAGAATAGAGTGCCCAGTCTTTCTTCCCCAGAGCAGCTAGTGGATTCAAACAGTATGTCTTTGGACTTACAATGCAGCCTCTTTCTACCAGGCCACCAGAGCCGAGCCTCCCCTTCTCCATGTAATTAAACCTCTTAACTAAAACCTAGCTGGGACATAGTATAAAATCATGCCTCCGGCTCCTTAACAACAGACAACCTATTCCTAATCGCCAAAATGGGGGCTTTTGTTGGTGCTACTGAAAACTGTATGGGAATAATTATAGATTAACCCACAGCTTCTCCATTTCAGCAATACTGAGATTCTGGGCAACAAAGAGAATTCTTTCTTTGGGGGAGCGGCAAGAATAGACAGGTTGTCTTGTAGATTGTAAGATGCTTATGCAGATCTCCGCTCTCAAAAAATGGAAGATGTATGCCTTCTCCAACAATCAAAATGTTCTAAGACATTCCAAACATCCAGAGGATTGAGAGCCACTCCCCATTAACCCTATTCACAGGATTTGGTGAATTTTCTTGCTTTTTAATTCTCCAAGTACTTTTATCATATACTTGGGTCTACAACTGATTATGCTATTAAAAATTTGTCCAGAACAATATATCCACATTATTAAGAAAGTAAGATTAGTAAATGAAGACAATAACAAAGGCTACATCTCAACATCAAGAAAACCCCTAGACCAATAGGCAGCCTCGTTAAGCAGACAAGAAATCAAAGCACATACTGCTTGGAAAATATATTGTGAAAGATCTTTCTAAAGTGTTAAAGAGCAAGAACGTCAACTTAAAAGATTAAGGTACAGGGGAGCTCTGGTGGCCTAGTGGCAAGAAGCTGCAACTACAATCCCAGAGGTGCAAGGTTCGAATCCACCAGATGCTCTGCCGGGGAAGGAGGGGCAATCTCCTCCTGTACCAGTCAGATCTGATTTGACGGTACACGCACACAAAGATAATAGAATAAAATAAAAAAGTATTAAAAAAAAAAAGAAGATGATTAAGGTGCATCGGATCCAAGTCATAGTATTTTCAACTGTTCACTATACATTTGCAAGTTGGACAATGAATAAAGATAACCTAAAATGAATAGATTCCTCTGAATTGTGGTGGAATAAAATTATTTCTACCTACTCAGAAATTGAAATGGCACAACTATATAGAAATGATAAATTTAATGAGGCAATCACAAAAGATACTGATAATGAAAATATGACAACTTACTACTTAAAAGCCTACTTTGGAAGAAAGTGATTTATGATGAACTTTATGCAAAAATTTCCATTTAAACAGAAATAAACAAATTCCAAGGAAAAGCTCAGGAAACAATTTTAAAAATAACTTATATAGGACAAATGTCTCACATTCCAATGAACTTTCTCCAATAAACCAATGGTTTTCATAAAAGGGATAAAATAAAACTGAGAGCTATCATCACACAAGAGACTCAAAAGCCAGATGTACTTACTACTAGCAGATCCTTTCTGGGATACGCATTCAAACAAACCAACTAGAAATAAAGATTTGTGAGTCAGGATGACTGAATAGTAGACAATATTAAGAAATTACTAATTTTGTTGAATGGAATAATAACTTTTTAATAATAATTTTTTTTACTAGGAGATGCAAGCTAAATTATTTCTGATTATAGTACCATGTCTGAGATTTGCTTTAAAATACTCCAAACCAAAAAGGGGGAAGCGGTGATATAAAATACCAGGAATTAAAGCTGGGTAGTAAGAACTATACTAGCCTCTATTAAATTGAATTTAAAAGAAGACATCGAAACCCTGAATAACACCACTACTATTAAAGAAAAAAGAACCCTTGGTTAATTGCCATAAATAAAAAACACCAGATAACAGATCATTTTACCGATATGTCCTTCCAAACTTTTAAGGAAAAGACAATTCAGTCAGTATTACCACAAGTACTTGAAGAAACCAGAAAGAACACTACCCTCACACAGTATTTTAAAAATCATACATGGCCAGTAGAAGAAAATAAGACAATCTTATTTGAGAACAGAAGCTAGAATCCTTTAAAAAGAGCAAGCCAAATCTATCAAAGTCTTTAAAATATAGTGTCACAAACTGGCCTAATTTCTGGAATCTTCCTAAGAGAAGGGTGTTTCAACTTTATACTGACAAACATCAGAATATCTCATCATATTACCAAAAGAACTCATCTTCATGGCAAGAAAAGTATCTGATAAATGTTTATTCAATCACAGTGAAACACCCCTCCCCCAGAATCTAGAAAAAAGCTTAACCTGATAAAAGATTTCTTCTAAAACCTAAAGATGGCAAATATGCACTAATGGAGTGCAATTAAATGTGGCCTTTATAATAAAATTAAAAAATGGCAATCACTACTATTAAATTTTACACTGGATATTTAGCTACGGCAACAATCCAAGAAAAATTATAAGTAAAATCACTAGTAAGGAAGAAATTTACGTAACTGATAATACAAATTACTGAACATAATGAGTTTATGCAAGGTGACAAATATGAATTCTAATTCTGTACACCAGCAATAAATGGTTAGAAATAATTATAAAAATATATTTTATAACAACATAAGACGATGTAATTAAAAGAGATGTAAATTATAGAACTTTAAAAAAGAATACCACAAGAATACCACCCCAATCACGTGGATAGAAATCCTGTTTACTATGTAAAGAAAGTTAAAGATTCAATGTAGCAAAGCCAAGCAAAATAACAAGAGGTTTTTCCAGGTTAGACAAGTGAAAAGAAAATCAAGTTTCTACTTCTGTACTGTGAGAAAATACATTCTTTATAAATCACTGGCACATAGATACACTGCTGTCTTCAAACTGAAAAAGAACTCTGGTGGCATAGTCTTAGTAAGTTGTGGTGCTAACTCAAAGGTGAATCCACCAGCATCACTACAGGAAAAAGATGGACAACTTGCTCTCTTGTGATTTATAGTCTACAAAAAACATCAGCCATGAGCGGATTCCAACCTGACACAATGAACATGGGGTGTTTTGGTCTTCTGACTCACAGGCACACTATGGGACAGAGTAGAGTTGTCCCCATATGGTTTCCAAAGGTGTAAATCTTTATAGAAGCTGATCAAGACTAGTATGTTTGGGCTGCTGACCCTCTGGTTAGCAGTCAAGCATTTTAACCACTACAACACCAAGGCTCCTAAACAAACTATTCTTCTCCAATGGAATCATTACTCTTTGAGAAGGCACACTGTTTTATAATTAAAGCAACATTTACTAGACACTTTCTACAAAATAGGTTATTCTATTCTAGGTACTTCATAGGCATTATTCTCAATTCTCTCAACAGCATTAGAAGACAGAAACACTGTCCATGTTCAGCAGAAGTTCCTTTTTAAAATTAGTACAGAAGTCTTACTCTTCAATCTAGATTTAGGACTTTAGCCTATACCAGGTTTCTGTCTGTTTATCCAAAACATTTAGTTTAACATCATACTCTGATGGCAGTCTGCATGGTGAAACAGTGGTAGATGTGAAAAATTCAAGTTTACTCTTTCCTTCATGGAAATTCTCTAATTTCAATAGACTTTAACTCAGTTACTGCTGCAATAGATCTCTCAGGTTTCAACTCAAAGGCTGGTATCACGCCAAGATGGTTCCCTTTGTTACAATCACAACCAGAGATACTTCTTATTATAGCTAAACATTTGTGTACATCTTAATCATCAAATTAAAAACAGCTTGAAGCTTAGGGTCTGGTTTAATAGATAATTATATTCCTTATAGTATCTAGCAGAGCCTTGATATGTATTATGTACAAGAACTGGCTGATGAAATGAATTCAGTAAATACTTCTGCATTTTTTAATTATACACTGTAATATCTTACATTTGAATAGGTATTTCCAACTTTGTAAAAAGTTTTCTAACTATTACTTAAAACCTCATTACAAGTATTTTGACCTCTGATACTGTTAATAAACTGTCAAATCTTACTCCTATTACTCCTAAGCAACTGTGATTGTTTCTCAAAGTTCTGCATGTATAGCTCCTCAATGACATCAGCCTGCACAAAAAAGTATCTCAGACCTGCTCATGGACTCTACAGGTTTGCATTTAAACGCAAAGATTAGCATTAAATCTTGTATTAAAAGGTGGTAAATTTCTGCTCTATCATCGGGGTTGTTAGAAGAGTCAAGGCGGCTTAAGAAATATTCCATTTTTTTTTTAAAGTGATCTTTTTTTAAAAAGTTATATATACCAAGTGTGGAAGAATAAAGAATCATTGGGGTCATCTAGCTTAACAGTTCCCAAATACACCTGGAAGTAGCCACATATAAAAAGCACAATAGTATGGACTGAGGCAGAATCTTTCAAGATAATTCATCTTTTGTAACTCTCAGGAGGAGCTTAAATTTGAAAATTCCCAAAGACGTCTTTCCCAAGATTACAGAACTTTGCTACTGGATATGGAACCTATTAACGTCCCTTAGGTCCCCATCCACTGCTCTACATGATAAACCTACCAGATCTTATGCCCAGCAGTTGCTTTTAGATTACTGAATTTTGGAAGAATA